AAGCTGAATCTTTAACTTCCTTTGCCTTTGCTCTAACTGAATGACTTTCCTCTGTGCCTGAGTCTCTTTCATCTGGCACTGACTTTGCTTGAACAGTCACTAGTGAGGCAAGAAGCAAGGAAAGAACTATTCTTATTCTTCCTAACTTCCTATAACCTGCTAGCCTGCTTCTACAGGAAAGTCGAAGGGCCTTAGAATCAATTATACCAGCTGCAGCAAAAGAAAGTCGAAGGATCAGCCTTAGGAGTCAGTCTCCCGACGTACCCAACACCTTCGAAACATCTGAGGTAAGGACCCCGATTTCATGATGATCCCTAGACTTAATCCAACCCTGTCATGAAGAAAGCCGTTTGTTACGCACAGGTCGCTCCTGAAAGAGCGGAGAGGAAAGAGTCTATCTTATGGTATCGGATTCTCTAACCCTGCTTACTTACCGGATGTTCCTTCTCTATTCTATGAGATTTTTCTTCAGTTCATGTAGAAAGACTAGCTTACCGCTCGGTTAATCGTATTCTCTTTCCGCCCCTTCGCTTGTGACTGTGATCTGCTTTCCACTCCTTTTGCCTTCTGAACCTACCGGGATCAACCCAAAAAAGAGGGTACTTCACACTTTCTTCGGGGATAGGATATCTGAACTATGCCGACTCATCGGCTACCGAAAGCTCTCTCCTTTTATCCAACTACTCACAATTGCCGGCAAGTATACCGAAAGCTGGGGATGGCCCTCCTCAAGTGCCACATCAGATTCACTCACCAACCTTGCCCGAGCGAGCCAACCAGGTACAGAGTCTTTGAGCGAGCTTGTAACATCCTTTGTGTAGAATGCCTCTCCGCTGGTGTACTATCTGTTGCAGCCTTCCATTAGCAGTGAGCTTTAGTCGACCAGAGGAAATAAAATAAAATAAAGGTATGGACGAGCATCAACGAGGAAGCCTATGCCCCTTGCAAGTTTTCATCCCTATCCGGTTCAGTCTTCTTGCTTCGCTCCAGTCTCAGTACCAGTAGCAGGCAAAGTAAAGAGGTAAGCTTTCCAGGATTGATTAGATGTTATATTATAGGGGCTGTGTCCAAGGAAAGGGCTAAGCTTAGTAGCACACTAGGTGAACTACCAGTAGCTTTCGAGAAGACAGTTACCGTACCAATCAAAAACGAGGTAAACTCAAATCTTTGTCCATCCAATTGAATCCTCCTCCCATAGTATCAAGGGTTGGTTTTCCCAAACGGAAACCGTAATTAACGGAAGTCGTGAACGAGCTTCCTTTACAATAGAGTAATTCTTTTTTGAATAGACGCCTTAACCTTAAGGAGTACCGGTTTCTGAGAAAGGTGGGATTCCCGGTTGATTGGATGCTTCCGTTAGAGCTTCTTCCCCTCCTGTCATTTAAGGGCACCTAGCTTACAATCACTAGTGAAAGAGTGCCAATTGACCCAACTAGCGAATCTGTTTACAACCATTCAATCTTTTTCATTTCCGTGAATACCGCTCGAAAGCAGTCATTTTTCGGCTTTATAGCACAAGCACGATCCATCTCCCTCCGTAGAGTGAGTAACAGGTGTAACTATATGCCGCCTACAATTCCACTTAGCAAAAAGATAAAAGACAAGATAAAGACTCACGGAAAGAACGAATTCCTTGCTTAGGGAAATTTTTTCAACTAAAACAAAAAAAAGGCCTTGGCGCTTACCAAAATACCAATAACAGGATAGGGAAATGGTGCCCCACCCTGGCTTTCGAAGGCTTTTTCCGAATGGACGGACTACTGACCTGACGGATACAAAGAGAATGGAAGGCTTAGAACGATAATCGAAAGCAGCGAAGACCCTTACTCCAAGATCTAGGATTCATTCGCTGACTGATAGGATGGAAAGGAAAGGATTGATTAGGATGCTTCAAAGGCCGATGTGCTTTTACTCTTTGGGAAAGGATTGGCCCTTAGCCAGATTGTACCACTTCGAAGACTTCCAAGGCTTGGAATGCTTACGGATTAGGCAATCGTCCTAGACCTGCATACACATCCCCTCGCTTACCCACAGAACGAATAGACCATTCACGGATGTAGTACTGGATTTCAATACGTTCTACACGAAATAGAGGATAGATGGAATGGCGTACCTTACGTTGGACGGAGAGACGGAATACAAGACAAGAAGAGAAAAAGAATTTACAGTGCTCGTGCACCACAAATAATAAAAGACTTCCCTCACTGAGGCAAGAAAAGAAAGAATGAGTACTTGCTGGGGGAAAGCAGTTAGATAGAACAACTAAAGAAAAAGCCATTTCTGTAGCGTGTAAGTAAGCGGCAATGGTGCTATACCCTCCTCGCTTTACATAATACATTAACTCAAACAAACAAGAAGAGAAATCGTCCTGCTACTCTTTCAGTCCAAGGAAGACATATAATATTAAAGATAAAGAGGAAGAATTGCCTGAGAAGCATTCTAATATGAACCGACCAAGGTTGATGAAAGAATACAGGAATTACGCTAAACTCAGACTACATTGTCTTACTTCCTCCGTTCCTTCACTGAAGTCTTTGTCTAGAACTAACTAGAAAAGTGAGCCCGGTCTTACTAAATCCGACTTGGGAAGAAGTGCCCCCGAAGCACTCAATTCATCTGGTGAAAAAGAATCTCCTATCGCTTCATCTTCCGCTGCCCTTTCATTTTATTTCTTTGTCTTCCTTCTTCCCTCTATAGGTGTTGAGGAATGCCGTGGATACCTCGGCTTTGGGAGATACCTTCGTTTTGGTCTTACTAGAAGGTGAGGAGGGACTTTCTTTCATTCCAGGAGGGACATACCACATAGGGCAGTCAGGCAAAGAAGAGATTCAATCCAAACGAAACTTTAGAAATATGCTCTTCTTCTTAGGTGCTTTCAAGGTGAGAGAGACTTGGGAAAGAGGCGGATTGCGGCGAAGATAAAACCTTTCGGAAAAGCGAGTCAGTGTAGTGCCCCTCAACCGTCTTTCCATAAAGAACATATCATGGATAGCCTGCCTATCTTGATAGTCGTTAGTGGTATACAATCCAAAAGAAGGCATCATAGTAGCAGCCTCCGGTATCCGGTAAAGGGTAAAGGAGCGCCTATCCTTATTAGTATACGGCCTTGGAAGCAGCCAATTCGCTTACATTGATGACACTGCTAACAACGGATCTTTTGAAGACAGATAGTAATAGATATTTCTTTTCCTTCAATAAATAAATGGACGGAATACTCCACGCACGGGCAAGCCGTCAAGCTCAAGATGGATGATGAATAAGGGAAAGTTGTCCTCGAAACTCCTAAGTCGGTTGAATCCAGCGAAGACTTGAACTACTTATTTCTGTATTAATATACAATGACTCAAGAGAATCCTTCTAGGCTTTACTAGGTTAACTCCTATTTGTGGACGAGAAAAAAAAAAAAAAGGATTCCAATCTTTCAGTTCGCTTACCGACCGGTGAACCGACGAAGGTTCTATTCGATAGTTGATTTAGCACAATCTTGTCTTATCTTTCAATTGCACGCTATGTGATCTTTTCTCTTATCATTACTTCCATGGTCTTCTATTCGACATTCTTATTAGAAAGCTTCGGCATCCAGTCTCCTATTTTGTTTTGGATCGCATCTCGCGAAATCAGATCTACTGGCAAAAGATCCCATTCCTCTTGGACTGGTCAGACGAATCACCTTAAGCAAACGACTTGGGAAGACTTCTTGGCATCGGTCTCTCTTTCTCTATATATTGATTCAAGGCGGGGAAGAGAACCTGCTATTTTCATCGTAATAAGACAGCATGCTTCACAGCCATCGATCTTTGAATTCAATGAAAGAAGCTTTCTTC